AGGTAACATGTTTTGACACGATAAGAAAAAAGTTATTTTGATGATTTTAATTTTTTAAACTACTAAAAAAAACTTATTATAAAATACAATAGATATAATGAATATGTATATATGGTTTATTAATTATTATTCTATATAAATTTTAAAATTTATGTTTTATTTATTTATTTATTTTTATAGTATATTATAGGCAAAGATTGAGATTAAAAATCATAAAACACATTAAAAATACCAAACACATTAAAAAAATTATAATAATTAATTTACATGTGCGAAAAATATGAAAAAAAATATGCAAACGCTCGTAGTTGCATCATCTACGCTTTGAGGATGGGTATATGATCGTTTGAATTTTTAATACCATACAAACTCTCATGAATAGTATTTTTAAAGGAGTTCAAAATAAACAAAATTCATAATCATTAATGTATAAATCTGAAAAATGTGAAAGCATAATAAACATTCATAATTTCATCCTCAACGCTTAGACAATGGTTACATGGTCGTTTAGATTTTTAAAAGGGAACTTTAACGAAAAGCTCCCGGTACTGTTCACTTTAACAAAAAACCACATTTTTACACTAAAAAGTCAATCCTGGTACTATTCACTTTACCCTTTATTTTGTTCTTATCGTTAAAACTCAAAGTTTTCAAGTCATTTTTATTAGTTTTCCTTTTTTAAAATCCTCCAAATCTCATGAACAATGTTTTTTATTTGAGTGCAAAATTAATAATAATTATTGTAAAAGTGTGACAAACTGTAATTACTCCTAATGAAAAGCTTTACAACTTTCATGAAGGGGTCAACTCCTAAATTTAGTATTATGTTTTACATTTTTTGGGGTCAATTATGTTTTTCATTTTCATTTTTATTGATTTAAAATATATTTTTCTTAACGGTTAATAGGTCGGGTCATATTACCTGACAATATTAACAGGTTGATTTTGGGTTAGGTCATATTATCCGTTTACTTTAACGGGTATTATACAATACAACCCGTTAAGCTATCGGGTATGACATGAAAACAATACGAATACGAAAAATACGACACTAAAGCATAACGATTGACTTGATCGACAACCCAAGAAATAATTGTTGATATATACGGTAATATATTTAAAGCTCATACCTTGAGGCTTGAAAGGATTATTTTCGTTTAACAATGAAGACTTAAGGTTTGGGGAAAGAGGATGACAAAAGGTCTTGGGTAGGCATTTGAGCCCAACTTTGACACTTAATTTGGAAAAAATAGCCAATTTTAGAGACATTGAATTTTAGCAAAACTTTCTAACTTGTTATAATTCTAACCAAAAATTCAGATAAAAAGTCTTAATTACCCTTAGTAATACTAATCATCTCCCTCTTCTCTTCCCCTCTCCTTTCTCACAAGCTTGAGCCACTACAATTTTGCGGTGGTCGGACAGTAAGCGTTGGTCCTAGCCCAACAGTAGTCATTTTCTCATTCTTTATTGGACCATTCCGCAGTGCCAAAAACCCAAGAGAGATGTCGGTTTACGTTTCATATCAAGAAATAGCCGAGAGGCAAGGAAAGTATTTTGCCAATTTACTAAACAAAATTGGTAAAGCTAGTGGAAGGCGTGATATAAGCAAAATCTAGATTTAACAAGGAAACGAAGATACCTAGTAGCATGAATACTATTGATAGCTAGGTGATGCTGGTGGCACAGCGGTGAGACCAAACTGTGGCAACAATGATGATGTGGTGGCGGTGTGTGTTGTGATGGTTAAGGATTGGATTCAATGGAAGGTTGATGGTTGTAGTGGCAACTCAACATATGCATCCCGATTTCGAAGGACTAAGTTACAGAAAATATAAGTTCCTGCTGTTCTATACTTTATAGGACACCCGTTGGCTGTTTTCCCGTACTGCCAGAAACCCAATGGAGAGGATTAGCAGCAAGGGTAATTAAGACTTTTTGTTTGGATTTTTTGTTAGTAGAAAAACTGGCTAAAATTCAGTTTGTGCATCTAAAATAGGATATTTTTCAAAATTTCCCGATATCTCAACAAATTGTGCATGATGCGTTAGGCTTCACCAAGTTTGGTTGCAATGATCGTTGGTGGTGAATAGCTGGGGTTCAAGTTAAAGAGATAACGCTCCAATACGGCCATCTTATGATGTGATTGATCAACTTGATCGTAACTGAGACAATGTTCTTAATTCTATATAAGTGCATTCAAGGCTAAATATGACTAATGAACGTGATGGTAAACAACATTTTGAACAACAGTTAGATGAAAGAGGAATTGTTTTTTTAGTACATCAATATTTTTACACTAAGGGGAGAGGGAGTTCGGTTAAGCCACACAATGTGCAGCCTAATTTGGTATCGAATTCACCATCCACGAGATTCGAACCTAAGACGTCTTACCTCTAAGCGAAGAGGAATACCACCAGACCGTAGTACTGAGTTCAATTCAAATTTCATTTAGTTTAACGCTATTATTTTGTTCGCATGAAATTTATATGTAGTTCTTCATTTTCATTTCGATTCAATTTGTCTTAGTGATTAGTCGATTTTATACTATGTATTTAACCTATTTTAGTATGTTTTAGTAATTATTTTGGTAAAATTTTGATACTTTGATTTATATTCTTAATGGAGGACATGCAATTTGTTCTTGAGAAAAAAGTGATTAAACAGATGAATTTTGAAGTCATTCCAATTGGAAAGAAGTTCATGAGTCATTCAACTTATTCGTGTCAAAGTTTCAAATTCTTCAACCATTTATGGCGATGAAATAAAGAAGCAGTGCTATCAAAAGTGTTTTTGGGCTTATTTGGGCTTTTTGGCTTCCAAATTAGTGTCTTTTAGGTTCGGACCCTTCTAGAAATATGTTCAGGACATCTCACGCTTTTAAAAAGAGTCATCTTGGCCTGTTTTAGAGCTGTCTAAGGTTCAGAACGTGGAAGAGCTGTTTGATTGCGGATTCTACTTTGTTGATTAGGTGATTGCTTTCTTAGTTTCTCTTAATTTATTTTCATTTCCTAGTTTTTAGAAGACCATTTCTAGGAAGGATTTAAATTGTAATAGTAAATAATAAGATGGCCGGCCCTAGGAATTCTCTACACAACTTTGAGAGGATTGCCGAAAGCTTTGGCAAATTAAAGACTTTATTCTACAAGCTGTATTTCAATAAAATTCTTTTTGATTTTAATAATAAATATGCGTAACTAACTCTCTTTTGCTAAGGCGATGTCATGAATCTTAGCATGAATATGTAGTCTTTATTTAATTGCTTATGATATTATGCATGCATACTTTGAATTATTAATCACTATGCTTAAATTGTCTAACTGTCTTAATTTTAAGCTACCATTAGGATGTTTGGATAAGTAATTGGATGCAATATCTATTGGAATTTCACCATGAAATTGAGGAAATGTTTCTTGTGGTTAATAATTATAAGTTCACTTAGGGCAAATGCCACATCATAAGGGTAGCATGGTTTTTCAAAGGGTTGTCACAAAGCGTAATAGGTTATGCATGTTCACATTTGATCTGAATGTCATAGACGGATTGCATGTTAAATATACGTTCTATCTTGAATGCCACAAGTAGAATATGCGTTAGGAAAACCTACCCGTTAAAGTTACATGTGTGATTCATAAGTAATTGGTAAAACTATATAGGATTCTTAAGGTGACGGACTTTTACAAATTGATTTTTAAAAATCGTTTCCTTTCAAATTGATTTTCTTAAAATTGTTTTCTTGTTGATTTCTTAAATTGTTTTTCATTAAAAAATCATTTTTATTATTTTAAATTTCATATCAATCTTTTCTAAAACTTTGTCTCTAGCAATTAATTAAGATTTGGTTTTACTACAACCATATTGTTCTCTTGCAAGTATTTTGCGAGATTTTTCCCCTCTTTACTCAGGTACTAAAAATCCTATCAATTAATTTCCTCCGCAAGGATACTTCAATCTTTCAAGTTTTATCCTTTTCTTGGTTGTCCATCAAGGTTTTTTTTCCGAAGGCTAGAAAAATAAACCTGTCCTAGTCTCCTAGAGAGGAGGTTCTTTGTCCGGCCACACAAAGCTTAGTCGAAAGTAAGGACCAAGGGGCATTTAGTTCAGACCAAGACACGAACTGGTGGTGGCACGCTCATGCACCCTAAGTCCAAAAGGGACCAAATTGTGGACCTGGATTGTCTGTCCTCCCCATCTCATACCTTTCCATCCCCTCATATTTTTGTAGTCACAGTTAAACCACGTTAACATTTTATATTCCCATTGTTTTTTGTCTTATTATTTCTATAAAAAAAAATCAATATAAATTATTGAATTGGCTTAACCGTGACTACAGAAATAGGAGAGGATGAGATGGGAGAGGGCAGACAATCCAGGTCCCCAAATTGTCTGGTTGTGGCTTTTCCAAAAAATCGCGAACATAATTTGGCACCCCGGTGGGATAGCTTTTATTGAAGCAAGATATCAACAAAAATGCTTTTAGCTACAAATCGCATTACAAGAGGGAAGACATACACAAAATCAGTTTCAAAGAGGCCTCTTTGACATAAGGCACCAACACGATTGTTAATGTTTGGAACATATAGCACAGTGGCTGCCTCTTGTAGACATCTCTTGATGTTGGGCTCTCTAGACCTCGTGATGTTTTGCTTTTTAGTTTCTCTTTGTTGGGCGTTTAGCCCCGTTGTTTACCAAAAAAAATCATTTTAATGAGGTTAATCAAAAGTTAGAGGATATGTTAAAAAAGATGTTGGCATTGCCATCAACGAAGGGAGAAAGTCTCACTCTTATACAAAGCATTATTAATCTGCTTGTCCTCTTTGTTAAGTGGGTCAACCTGAATACTGCCAAACATGCTTGGGCCAACTTTAAATAGGTCAGACCAGTTTGACACTTCTAATTGAATTGATTTTCCAACAAGAAATGAAATAAATCACAAACATATTATTTCAAAGCATAGGAATATTGGGAAAGCATCGATTTCTTTATCAAATAAACACATAAATGTAAATTATTTCTTAATTTAATTATCACGTACCTTCTTCATTGCAAAGGAAATTTTACACTATATGTTGCACTAAACTTGAATTGCATGATCTTGCTGAGCACTTCTTTATAAGACTTCTTCAATCAAACTAGGGGAAACTTAATAACATTTTCCAGTTACATAATTTCACAGTTATTGTAAACTTTGTTTATGGTTATAGTTATGTATGTTTAATTTTGGAATCTGCAATTCCTTCTGATCTCTCCTTGTGTCCCAGTTAGAGGACTAATGTTGCCCATCTTCACCATGGACCCAGCAAAGTCGCTTCTCCAGGCTACATTGTCCCTACTATAAGTTGTAACCAATGAATCCTGAGGCCCATTATTAAAGAACTCCTGATCCGAATGAAGAAGACCGCGATGACCAACAAGGGTCTTGTAGTAGTCATTGTCGAAAGTAACTGGTGTTGCATCAAAGGGGGCTAGATTGCTGTCTCCACCAGAAGCTGGACAACCGATCTTCCGAAAATTTGCAAAAATGGGGTTTATGTTGGTATCATTGTATATGTGGCTCCTGAAATTTGCACACTGAGCGTAGCCTACTGTGTGGGCACCAACGAGCACCGTCATGTCCTCGGCATCTAAGCCTTTGCTCGCAAAGTTGGCGGTCAGGGTTGCGATGTCAGAGAACGGGGCTGGGATTTGGGTGTTGGCATCACTTTGGCTTGCTGTTCTTGCATCTCTTCGGCCTAGTGGTACCGTCCAGTTGGGTCCTCCAAGCTACACATATACAGCAATTAGAAAATACGTACTTAACAATATAGCCTGTATGTAAGATGTCACCTATCAGGGCTTTGATCTGAAATCTCTTTTGCCCGTAAGCATTAACAAGTATGTCTACACTTTTCTTAGATCCAGTTTCCGATTCAATTTTGCAGAGACGAGAAAATAGTGAGGTGGCTACTCACCAACACTACTCCGTCTCGGGCCGCAAGTGCTAAAATATCTGCACAAGATACAGTAGAACTGCAAGCTGCTTCCACACGGGTTTTAATGGTATCAATCACTTCAAAGCCCCTAGCTGAGTTCTGGTTCGGGAGCGCATTCTTTTCGCCTGTGAAGGTCGGCGTGTCGTCCAACAGTATGGAAGCGTCGCAACCCTGGAAGAAACGAATCAAAATGCACACTGTTAACATGAAAAACTTGGTTCAATTAACACATATAGCGTTTGTGTAGTGTGTATATATAGATCGACGATCTCACATTGACAAAGCAATCGTGGAAGAACAAGCGAAGGATAGAGGCACCGATCCGTAACTCTTTAATAACGGCTTCGGTCATAGCTCTGCGCACGATGGTCTCGAGGTTTGGGCAAGTTGAGGCGTAGAAGTTGGGAGAGAGCTGTGCATTGCTGCAGCAGCCAAAGATGAAGACTACTGCAATGAAGAAGTAGGATACAGAGGCCATGATAATATATTAGCTGAAGAGGCCCGTTGTAGTGTAAGGAAGAAGCGAACAAATACTGTCTATATATAGAGTGCGTAAATTCGTGAATTGTGATTGTGCATGCATGGAGAGATTGGAGAAAGACTTTTTTTATTTTATTTTTTTTATCCTTACCAACCATCGTGTGCAATACGGGTCTGAAATTTATCCCCTACTTGCCCCGTGATGGTTACTGGAGAAAGAATTTCTGAAGTTGGTTGGAATTGCATTTCAAACTTTGTTACGGAAAGGTATGGAAGGAACATCATCAAGCTCCAATAAGACAAAAAAATATTGATAAAAAAAAAATTAATTCGAAAAACATCTTTATCTTCTTGGCAAAGTCTTAAAATTTTAAAATCTCTAGAGTCCAGTTGCTCCATGTCGGGGCTGTTCTGTTTATCATTGTATATGGGTATGCTATAAAAGTGATATTTTGTAAACCAAATTTAAATTATTTCTCTAATTCACGCTATTCTTACATTAGTCTTGCAACATGGTTTTTAATTTTCTAAAATCTCGTATTTATCTTGTGTCTCACTTCAGCCCTTATTATAAATTTTGTTTGTTTTTCTATCAAAGTATAACATTGGACAAAATATGAGGATTATAAAATGGTTTCAGAAATTAGCATAGCTCCTCACTTGGTTCATGAGATTTGAAATCGATAGAAGTGGTCCTTGAATTTGTCCACCATCAATCATTTTAGTCTTTTCGTGAAAAATCTCTATTAAACAAGGACCAAAATGACAAAAACTCTTATAATCCATAAAAAATAAACACGTTAACCAATATTTAAGTAATAATCTAATCATCAACCACAATATAATTTGGTTTACAAATTTAGTTTAAAAATTTTCATCCACCTAGCATTACCCGGATGAAAATGTGTGACTTTATTTAATTAAGCTACCGATTTCATCAAATTAAATTGGATAATCAAATATTAGGCCACCAATCCATATCAATATCATCCTCCAAATTTAGGGAGCTTTGAGCTACGAAAGTTGCTGCCCATCGATAATATCCATTTTGAAGAGTCAGTTGTTGAGTCCATGGTGGTTGTTACTATTATTATTTGTTGTTATTATTATTATTATTATTATTTGGTTTACAATCACCTTATAATTTGGTTTACCAATTTAATTTAAAAATTTTGTCCACCTTGCATTAGCCGGATGAAAATTATGATTATGCTACCCATTTCACTAAATTAAATAGGATAATCAAATATTGGGCCACCAATACATATCTCAACAGGATCATCTCCAGATCCTTTTTGTGAGGATCCCGAAGATTCATAAATAATGTCCGTTCATCGTGTATCATGCGATTAGTTTTGTCAGGTACTATATGTGTTTAATTTTAAATAAAAAAATTAAATGATTTTTTACTATACAATGTACAATGAACGAACACGATTTATGGATTCAGGGGATCCTCATAAAGAGAATCCGGATTCATACATATCAATATCATCCTCAAAATTTAGGGAGCTTTGAGCCACGAAAGTTGCTGCCTCATCGATCAAATCCATTTTGAAGAGGTAGTTGTTGAGTCCATGGTGGTGGTTATTGGATGAGGAACATTTTTGGATTCTCTTTCTGAGGATCTTAAGGATTTTCACATCCTATATGTTCATCGTATATCGTACGGCCAGTTTTTATCAGGTACTATTTGTGTTTAGTTTTAAATAAAGAAAGTCAAATGATTTCTAACCGCACAATATACAATGAATAACTAAAATATGAGGATCCATAGGATTCCCACAATTTAGATCCAGATGAGATCCAAATCCGTAGTTATTATTAGTTTTGGTTGAAAATATTATTATTATTATTATTATTATTATTATTATTATTATTATTATTATTATTATTATTATTTGGGAAATATCGGTACTAGGATATAGGATGAACGACAAAGAGAGAGAACCGGAGAAGGGAGAAGAAAGAGTCAAGGAGAAAGAGAGAAAATTAATGAAAAATAATTAATGAGATGGGAGAGAAATAATCTTTAGAATTTATTCCCAATTACTTTAATAAAGAAAACTAATTTGATTAATTAGATTACATCTCAACCCTTAAAAGTATACAAATATAATGATCTAGGACTTGTGTCAAAACTTATATTTTTTTTTTGTGGTGTCACGGATCCGTCACCATATATAATGATCCATCGCCATATATTTTTTTTTGTGGTGTCACGGAGTCGTATAGATGCTTTTTTTAGTCAATTATTATAGTCTATAGATTGCTATTTAGTTTTTGAACAACTTATTATATATTGCTTTATGTTTGACTTTGAACAACTTCAGTATGTGTGATTGCGTGTGTGTAGACCCGGCAGTTTCTAACACGATACGGTGACACGATATGAAAACGACACAAAAATAACGGGTTTCAGGTCAACACAATAACTTATCGGGTCATTATCGGGTGACCCGTTAAGAACCAGTTAATAACGGGCTCTTAACGGGTATACAGGCGGGTAACACGTGGGTAACCCGTTTGGACCCGTTAAGAAAAAATTTATTTTGATAATTTTAAAGTTTAATTACTAAAAGATTTATTATAAAATACAATAGCCATATTAATATATACAATATATTCTATATTAAATATATAGTTTTGTATTATTATTCTATATAAGTTTTTTTTTTTAAATTGTCATTATTTATTTTTATTATGAGAGTTCCTTATTATCATTACTAGGATAAATTTTACTTAACATGTTGTTGTCCAAAATTAAAATAAACTAATATAGTATTTATATAGGCAAGAACTAAGAAGACATACATACACATATGAAAAATGTGAAAGAATATATAAACACTCGTGATTCATCATTATTCCTCCACGAGTAGATAATGGTTACATTTGCATTATCGTTTAGATTTTTAAAATTGTCCAAACCTTCGTGAATAATATTTTTTATTTGAGGGCAAAATTAATAAAATTAATAATAATTATTGTAGAAGTGTAAAAAATGTAAAAAAGATATACAATCACTCATAGTGACAAACTTTACAACTTTGATGAAGAGGTCAACTTCGAAATCCAACACTATAATTCATAAACCTTAAATTTATATTTAACCATCGATTGCCATTTATGCTTTATTTTTCTTACTGAATTTCATTTTTAAAATTTTCTTTTTTTAAAACATGATCATCTGGCGGATGTGAGAAGAGGAACGGTTCAGATCTTTGATATCACGTTTCGATATTTATGGTTAACTGAAAGATGAGTCGATATCATATAGTTTGTAAAAAACTTTATAAATATCAAGCAATATTTTCACTAACCGTAAAACTCTAAATATAATATCAACGATCCAAACCGTTCATCTTCCTCCATCCTCTAATAGATCAAGTTTTCAAAAAAGAAAAGCTGAAAAAACAAAATTTGATGTGAACAATGAAGCGTAAATGTAAACAACAATCAACGGTTAAATTTTGATCTATGATTTTTATGATTATAGTGGCGAATTTCGAAGTTAAGCTCTTCATGAAAGTTGTAAAGCTTGCCATTACAAGCGTTTATAAATTTTTTCTATATTTTTTTACAATTCTACATTAATTAAAAAACTATTAAAGACTTTAGGTAAGTGAAAATATACTTAAAAAGAAAAATGCGTTTTTATGTTTTGGATGTGACAATATGGTATGTATATACTTATTTAGTATTATATTTTTCATTTGATTATTTATTGGTTTAAAATATATTTTCCTTAACGGGTAACGGGTCAGGTCAAATTACCTGTTAATATTATTAGGTTGGGCCATTTTACCCGTTTATTTTAACGGGTGTTACAACACGACCCGTTAAGATATTAGGTATGACACGAAAACGACACGAACACGAATGTCAGGTCTACGTGTGTGTATATATATATTTATTTTGTAATAGGTTGAATGGAATCAATTTGAACTCCAAGTGGGAGGAGGGTTTGGTTACTTTTCCTTATGTTCAATTCAACTACGCCCATTCTGAGCTTGAGCTAGTTTTTTCTCAATGATAATTTGGTGGTACTGCTCTCGTTTTCAAGAAAGCATAACGATTGACTTGATCATTTGACAGTCCAAGAAATAATTGTCGACATATATGGTAATATATCTAAAGGTCAAACCTTGAGGCTTGAGATATTTCGAGGGGATTATTTTCGTTTAATAATGAAGGTTAAACCTACCCCTCCTCTCCTTAGTGTAGATAATATCGTTTGTTAAAAAAAATGAAGGCTTAAGGTTTGAGGAAAAAGGATAACAAAGGTCTTTGGTATGCATTTAAGCCCAACTTTGACACCTTAATTTTATGTTAGGCATTGCTCCGATTAAGTTAGGTTGTGATGAGTTAAACGTCACCAAGTTGCGTCACGATGAGTTAGGCCACACTAAGTTAGGCCCGATGATCGTTGGTGGTGAATAGTTGGGGGGCCAAGTTAAAGAGATAACGCTCCAATTCTGCCATTTAATTATGTGATTGATCAACTTGATCGTAACTGAGACAATGTGCTTAATTGCATATAAGTGCATTCAAGGCAAAATATGATGGAATGAACGTGATGTTAATACAATAGCTTGAACAACAGTTAAATGAAAGAGGAACTAAGCGCTAATTTTAATTCAAATTTCATTTAGTTTAATGCTATCATTTTGTTCGCATGAAAATTATATATTGTTCTTCAGTTTCATTTCATTTCAATTTATATTAGTATCCTCCACAAGGATACTTCAATCTTTTACCGTTTCTTGGTTCCTTCAAGGTTTTATTCCAATGCTTGAAAAATAACCAGTCCTAGAGGAGGTTGTTTGTTCGGCCACACGAAACTAGGTCGAACTAAGGATCAAGGGGTTATTAATTCATCCGCTCACATCTCTTCATGTAGACCTCCAAGACACAATCTGGTAGAGATTTTTTTGTTTTTTTGTTTTTTGTTTTTGTGCCCGGAATACGAATACCACCACGTGTCATTATATAAGTAGAGGGAAGTTTTATTTTTTAAGTG